ATATATAATATAAAATATGTAAAATATATTAAAATTTTCAACATTTTCAACCCTAAGCGATTAATGATGTTCTATTTACTAGTGATCGGTACATTACTGCAGCTACGTTGGACGCGCATGCGTCTGAAACCCGCCCCGTCTAATAACACTGACCTCGAGAACGGTGTCGTAGAACGAAAACGACATCTCGATCGAACTAATTTAGATGATCACTTTTGACGGCCTCGTCCATGTAAGTTTGGTCTCCTATTTTCTATACTCCATGATGTCAAGCATGATATAAGAAGATATAAGAAGATGCACCAACTTAATGGATGTGCAATAACTGATTTAAAGTTACATGACATTTTCTCGAAAGAAAATGTTGATACTAACAAAAACTTCTAGGCAACACGATTTTAATTTGTACGGATTAGTAATCGTCACAGCACAGACTCTTGCATAACGCTTAATGCATAGTGCATAATGGAATCATCCAATTAAAATCTTCTTTTCCATAGAATGGAAGGAAAGGAAAAATTCTGATTAGTTGATCCGCTTATACACCATGCATTATTCAAAAATCTGTGCTGCGGCCTTAAGGACCGCGAAGAATTAGCAATGAAAATTTCCTTTTTTCTCATTTCACGGAAAAAGAGAATTTTGATTGGATGATTCTCTTATGCATTATGCATTATGCGTTATGCATGAGTTTGGGGTCTCCATCTAAAGCACAGACTCTTACATAACACGTAATGCATAAGAAATTCAACCAATCATAGTTCTTTATTTCATGGAAAAGAAAGAAATGAAGGGCGTTGATTGGTATATTGTCTTATGTATTACGCGTTATGTGTTATGCAAGAGTTTGTGCTCCCCGCTTAACACTGTTGAAGTAGCAAATCCATAAGTTCGTCCATAAGTCCATACCACAAACTTATGGACTTACTACTTCAACAGTATTACTAATCCGTACAAATTAAAATCGTGTTGCCTAAGAGCTTTTGTTAGTACCAACATTTTCTAGTCTAGTTTCGGGAAAATGTTATGAAACTGATTTTTTTAACTGATTTAGGATAAAGTCATACGGTGCAGAATAAATACAGACTTCTATTACAGTATAAGTACATACAGTATAAGTACATACAGTATAGACACTGAATTTTATATATGGTCCCCAATTTTTAGTATGTATGCGTCAATTTTCAACCAGGAATATGGTTGTCTTCAGTAAGTTGAAATTGTAGGTTAGCTGGATCTCCTTCCCATAAAATATAATTATCCTTTTCGCTTACAAAATATTGTATGAAATTCGTAAGGAAATTGAGCCAATCATGATCACGGGAGAGAGCCGTGGTACGTCATTCGTATAAGGCTTAATTTTTTTTAATTTGTAAGAGAAAAGTATGGCAAAGGGTTAATAAAATTAAGTTTTACTAAAAAATTAAATCAAATTTTTTCGGAGACGCTATATTGTAGATTCTTATATTTGTATACGATAAAGTATTCTCGTAATAAAGTATGCTTGCGTGCGTGCGTGCGTGCGTGCGTGTGTGTACATACTAGGAGTATAAATAAGTTTCCGCCGTTTTTTTATCAAAAATTGGGCATTTATTGTGAAAGAACGGTACCTAATGTTTTATTTGAAATATTGTCCATCGCTAGCCATTACTTTTTCCCATCTTTCTGGCAGCATACGGATACCGCGTCAGAAAAACGCTTCATCTTTTGAAGCTATCCACGAATCGACCCAATTTTTGATATCTTCATATGATGTGAAGTGTTGCTCAAACAGGTCATGCGCCATCGATCGAAACATGTAGTAATCAGAAGGAGCAATGTCTGGTGAATACGGCGGGTGGGGTAAAACTTCCCAATTGAGTGTTTCCAAGTAGGTTTTGACCGGCGCCGCAACATGTGGACGAACATTATCATGCAGAAGAATAACTTTGTCGTGTCTGGAATAGTAGTGGGTGCGTTTTTCCTTGAGTACTCGGCTCAATCTCATCAATTGTGTTCGATAGAGAGCCCCAGTAATGGTTTCGTTCGGTTTGAGCAACTCATAATAAACGACACCTAGCTGATCCCACCAAATACACAACATGAGCTTTTTCCCATGAATGTTCGGCTTGGCTGTCGATGTTGAAGCATGGCCAGGTGATCCCCATGATTTCTTCTTCTTTGGGTCAT